GGGCTGGTGACTCCGTCATACATTTCCGTGTCTTTCCAGACACTCTCCGAAGCATCTAAACATTCTGATGATAACTTAGTCATGAAATGCATTAATCTTTTGTAAATGAAGAGCTGTGTGTTTTGACACATTCCGCAAGTCTTTATTCTGGACTCATTATCCATGATCAACTTGTAATGGGTTGGAATGCAGCGTTATCTTGTGGCAAGTCATCAAACCAGTCTACTGGGATCCCATCGTTGATGGGTCTTTTATCGCTGTTCCTATTCATGAGAAAGATGGACACTTTTATGTGAAGGAACACCAAACTCGGGGGTCATCAGAGGTCACAGGTCAGACAAGCCGGCCTCATCTCGGTCCAGAATTCCTGTCAAAATGGGATCATAATATTGTTCTTGGGTTGCTAGTATGCATAACAGCCCAGCTTGTATTCAGACATTGAAAGCAGAACGATGAAACTTTTAATTGGTATAATTTGAAGATTATCCCACATTATGCATCAAAGCTAATCATGTGGGCTTCCTCATACAGGCCTTTGTTGTTGGGCAGTTTCAAAGTATGGAGTTTTAAAATGCATTGGCATGTCAGAACTGTTCTTCCTAAAGTAGTTTAAACACAACCCATTTGAAACAAAAGAAACAGCCGCAGCATCATAGCTTAAAAGGCTGGTCGGACAGCTTGAATCACCAATCTTCAAAGAATGGGTTAAGATTTATTTTTTATCAGGATAATTTATTATAGGCTTGTCAGCAAGAGTGCTTCATTTTGATGAAGTTAATTAAAAGTTAGGCGGCTCTCAGGGCTCATGAAATTTGGCAAAGGAAGATCGCAAATTTAGGCACTTAAACCGACAATTTTTAACATTGAGTTGATACAGGGATGCCTTAGTCATTCTAAAATGGTATGTTAATTTGATGTAAGTGGCAGATATGAAGTAAAACGAATCTTTACTGCATCAAGAAATATCACCGTTACCGCTATTGTATCATTTAAACCCATAAATGTCTTTTTAATGGAACGAATAAAATTTGAAATTTGACATTGGGGAAAAGGGCAACTGTTGGCTGGTCACAATATAACAATGTCTGAATAGATTAAGCTTCCAACACTCAACCATCAGGACAATTTCTTCTCATTTCGGATTTATTCTCACCTATTCCTGTATTTTTTTCTCCAGAAATAAGTACTAATATTGTTCTTATTGATTCTAAGACAAAACTTGACAGGAGGCTCCAGTCTCAGACTGTGTAGAGCGATCCCTTCTCAGACAGATGAGTTGCTAATAGACTCTGTATGTGCTTGAGTGCTCAACAACCGTTGTTTTGGAGATATTGCCTGGGATCAAACTTCCAAAGGTCTCTAAGCCTATTTTTAGCAATTGCTTATCAGAAATATTTTGTTTGCAGGTTGGGGGTATTTTGTAAGATTGTAGCTATAATTAGAATATATTCCACACTTTGCGATTACCAATTAGGCTGAGGTGTTTTGTTGGTACATAATATAAAATGGTTGTTGCTTAACACAGTATTTTTTCTTACTGATTAAGGAAACAAATGAGTAGCTCGCAGGTCAAAGTGTTGGCTTGCCAGAGAAAGACTGGGTTTGACTCTTAAGCTCATTTATGTAGCTGGCATAGGTTTTGATTTGCACATGCTCTTGACCTTGAGTTTGCCTGGACCGATCATGTGTTATAGCAGTGTGCCAGAAAACCTTACTCACACAATGTGTTGATGTAATGCTATGATAAATCAAACAGGTTTCAATGATGTAGTATTAGAAAACAAGAATCAAAAACAAAAGTAAACCTCAGCTTTTTCTCATAGCTAACACCAAGTGAGAGTGACATGGAGTAACTGCTTCACACAGGCGGAAACCAACAGAGGGAGACATTTACATGGGGGGCACGTGCCTGGCAGCTGCAGGGGGTAAGGGGGTGGGGGAGGAGGCTAGGGGGTGGGGATCGCTAACTGCCAGATTGCATTGAAACCAGATTCAAGCCTGCAATCTGACAAATCGCCTCCATTTGTGTCGGCAGCATTGAGATTTGTACCAGGTGAAGCCTGGGCTAGCACTTGCATGGAGCTATGAGAGATGGTGAAGGTTATATTTATTGTTGCCTGATCAAGTTTGATCACGGGCTAATAGTTGCGGTGATTTGTGGCACCATCTCATCATCATTAACACAGTCATGCCCCATAGAATCATATCCAGTAGGAACCTTAGACACACATCCTGAGCTTCAGACCTACCCAAACCTCACTCCTCTTGAACTTCAAACTAACTGTGGCATGTTTTCTCATGTTAAGCAATGTTGGTTGGTTTGTTGTTTAACCCTGCACTCAGCAATATTCCAGCTATATGACACGGTCTGTAAATAATCGAGCCTGGACCAGACAATCCAGTGATCTTGAGCATCGATCCACGCAATTGGGATCGATGACATGCATCAACCAAGTCAGTGAGCCTGACCATCCGATCCTGTTAGTCGCCTCTTACGACAAACAAAGTCGCCTTTTACGGCAAGCATGGGTTGCTGAAGACCTATTCTACCCCGGTTCTTCACGGGTCGTTAAGCAATGTAATATATACTGATGACCCTACACAGGATCCACAACATGGCACAACATGGCATGACATAAATCAAAACTGAATTATCTTCTTTACATGGATTAGGTTTCCCAGTATATTTTGAAACTGGCTATAAGCCTTGTGGGCTTTTTATTAAGCAACTGCAAAAATGAAGCAACTGGTCTTGCAGTGTTACTGTAACTTGGCTAATTTCTTGTCCTGGGCGTGTGCCAGAACTTCTTCTATTATCTTGTAGTCAACTTACATGGAGTTTAAAGGATGTTCAGGTGATAGGTCGAAGCCATTTCCTTGTGAAAACTGAGGAGCATTCCTGACATATTCTCCATGTTAAGAGAAACATGGATAAAAGGAACAAGAACATTAAATAATTAGGTAAACAACGGCTCGCCTACCTGGTGCGACAAAGTCGCTCTGAAGCCTGTAAACGAAATCTACACTTTTGTTTATTGAGACCAGTCAATGGTTTGGTGAAGAAACAAAGTTTGTTTCGTTTTTTGTTGCAAACCTTTCAAAAACAATATGGATGCCACCTGGAGCAGCCGGCTCCTTGAAGTGTTGGATGATAAAACTTTATTGGGTTTGAAAATTAATTATTATATCCTGGACTTATAATCTCACTATTTTATGTAGTAGAAATTTATGTATTTGTACTATGACATAACTTGCTTGGCTGATTTCCCATACATGGGTCATATAGTAGCTCACCAATTCTATTTTGTATGCTTCACAAAAGAGAAAAGGCCTAGTCAAGTGCATATGTATTTGTAATCAATAATTGAATAGTGAAAAGTATATTATTTTAGCCCTAGGATATCATGATTTAACAGCTTGGGCAGAATGACACTTTTCTATCATGCATGAAGATGTATTAAATGGAAAATATATACATTGCTGGTGAACTTCATGGGATTTGACTGGTAGATCGGTTTGTACCTATTTAGTCTTCAGCCACAGTGTTAAAATCAACTTTGTATTATACGGAATATCTCATTTCTCCAAGGTTGAATGCTCTGTTAAATATAATTTGAAATGTGATCTCAAGTATGAAATTAGATCAAATAATTGAATGTGGTGTGGCATAAAGAGAGAAATATCAAATTATTATAACATTATTACACACAGGGGACAAAGCTATATATTATTGACAAATTCTTCCACAGTTTGATTGCAAGTGAATTTACATTTAATTCAAGTATAAAACTTTTACACTGCCGAATTCATTACTCTTTTTAAACAGTTCAATGTTTTTTATTCAAAATGTGAGAAGAATTATTTTGTGATGTTGTGAGTCATTAATATAATAATAAGATAACAAGATATATTAATTCCTGTTTAACTGTTTAAGATACAATGAATGTCTACTAACTGTATCTAAGCGGGATCTGAAATTCCAGCGCATCAGCTCTAGTTTTTGAAGGGTCTGTATAATTGAAGCAGGCATGAGTGGTAGGACTTCACCAGAGCCCATCTCAATTTAATGCTCATTATAAAGGTATTTTGTGCTTGCAGTTTTGTGGTAGGAATTACACACAGTGATTAAGCTTTGATTAGGCAGGGGTATCTAAGACAGCTGGCTCTGGTTGTTGGTGGAGCCTGCAACTCCAGGCTGTATGTAATTATGATAATGTTGTGTTTGTTAGAGGACCAGTTACACAATTATGGATTTACAAACATGCTGTGTCTTAGCTGGCATAATTCTGCCTGTGAACAGATGTTTGAGGGTTACAAAAAGATTGATAGGTTTACCTGTCTTGTGAATATAGATATTTGGGAAATAATGTTTTGGCTGATAAGATATTGTTTGGGGAAATTCCCTGAAAGTAGAATCACCAAAGGTGACTTTGATTTTTGTTATTTATGTGTGTCATTTTCACAGTTTGAAAAGATAATGTTCACAATGTAGATTTTGCAAGAAGTATCAATTGGCGGTGTCGTTGAAAGAGAAAGTGATTGAAGCTCTCCTAAAATAGTATTTACCTTTGCAGTGTATTGATAGCCACAGTTGTGTACCTCGTGCTGCATGGGTATTTGAAAGTATCATGTACCTTGATTGACGTTCGTGTTGTGCAATAGAGATTTACTGCAATGATTTCTTGATGCAGAAATGTGCATTCAGTACGTACAAATGTATAGAATAGACCTAGAATAAAATGGATTTTGCATCGAGAGATGCACAAGATATTCATTGTACCTGAATATTGACAAGAAATATATGAAATTATCAAATCTTCCTGTACAGTACACTACACCATTTCACTACTTCACAGGACCCTCGTATTTATTGTATCGACCCTTGGGGGACATCTAGTTTTGAAGGTCAAACTAAAACGCTGGATGTACAAGGATTAATATATGATTCCCAACCAAACAGTAATGGTCATGATAACAATCATCCTTCCTCTATTTGGCAGATTCACCAGTACTTCAATGGGATCCCAGATGGGAAGGTGCCTTACCTCAACAGTGCCGGGGAGAAGTACCGTGTGCGGCAACTACTGCAACAACTGCCGCCTCATGACAACGAGGTGCGCTACTGCAATGTGTTGACGGAGGAGGAGAAGCATGAGCTACGGATGTTCTCTGCTCAGCGCAAACGGGAGGCACTCGGGCGGGGTACCGTCAGGCCCCTCCCTCTCACCATGCAAGGAACTGCATGTACTCAGGTTAGGAGACTCTTTATGGCTATAATCAGGATTGTTATGGCTGGTGATAATAATTATAAAAACATAAGAAATTTGGACCGAGTACTAAACCTATCCCTAATTAATGTAAATTGATTGCCAGTTAAATTAATTTTGGTCTAGGAAACACATTTATTCCAGTAAATAAATCATCAGTATATTTCAAATCACCTCAGATTAGATTTTGTTCAAAAGTTTAAAAATTGAAATAGGAAAAAAATTGATGAAAATTTGGATAAATCATATTGTAATAAGTTAAATCTCTGCCTTATGATAGTTGTTTTATTTTTGTGTGGACACTATGTAATTATGTGTTTCTCCTTGCAGTGTGAGTGCACTGTTCCTGGTGGGGACATGGCAGTGTTTGCCTCACGTGCTGGGGCCGACAAGTGCTGGCACCCAGGATGTTTCGTGTGTCACACTTGCGGTGAGCTTCTTGTCGACCTCATCTACTTCTTCGCTGAAGGTGAACTTTACTGTGGACGTCACCATGCCGAGATGCTCAAACCTAGATGTGCAGCATGTGATGAGGTACGTCCAGTTTGAAACATATGTCAAAAAGTTTTAACAGATTGATTACGTGTTAATGAGATAATAATTGCAATAAGATTGTTGTAAGTATTGAATTAACCCTACTCATAAGGATATTAGTGGTAAATGGTAACTCTAGTGATCAGATACTCGAGAATTTACTAAATAATTTGGTTGTGAAGATTAATTATTGCTTGTGTGAGATTATGAAATCTGGTTTGCTTATATTGAGAGTGAGAGGCTTATATTTAAGGTAGGTTGGTCAAATGTCACAATGTCACGCTGAAGTATGTGACATCTTGTCAGGAAAAAAGCAGCTTAATGTAATTCATGGAAGGTCAGTAATGTGTCACCGTGGTAAGGTCATGGATCAAGGGATTAGGTCACACTGACTTCCTTATTGAACAATCCTCAGGTGATTAAAGATTTCATTCATAAATAGTCACATCATTCTCAGCTTCGTGTTATTGTTTTCAGATCATCTTCGCAGACGAGTGTACGGAGGCTGAAGGTAGAAGCTGGCACATGAAGCACTTCTGCTGTTTCGAGTGTGACACCATGTTAGGTGGTCAACGCTACATCATGCGAGAAGGGCGGCCATATTGTTGTGCATGCTTCGAGCGGATGTTTGCGGAATATTGTGACACTTGCGGTGAACACATCGGTGTTGATCAAGGACAAATGACCCATGAAGGTCAGCACTGGCATGCAACAGATCAGTGCTTCAAATGCCACACATGTCAAAAGTCTTTGCTAGGACAACCGTTTTTACCCAAACATGGTGTTATTTACTGCTCTGCTGCGTGTAGCCGAGCGGGTTCTATGCAGACTCAGACTCCACGACGACCCGAAGATTACCTTCAAGAGTTGCAGGCTGTTAGAGTAGGCTCCCCTGTCAGCCACGTGCTTCTAGAAGGAAATAAGGACATTCATGAAGTGCTGCGACAACAGTATACCATCAATGACAGCTACCCATCATCGGACAGGGATCAGGGCTACGCTACAAGCAGCAACAGCGAGGTGTATGCACCGGGTCTCTATGAGGCGCCCCAACAAAGCGTCCCCTTTACTGACCCCGAGGCTGTGTATCATCTGAACCTCGATGGCCTCATTGATGGTCTTCCTTGCCAGGAAGCCAAGAAACGTAACAGACTGTCACAATTCTCAATGCCCGACTTAACAAAAGAACCGGACACCCCTGGATCAGACAAGAGTAACCTCAGCTCAAGGAGTAGGAGTCGGTCAGGGTCCGAGAAGAATGTGAGCGTTCACTACGCTTCTATCAATCCTCAGCGAGAGAGGATACCCCCTTGTCCCCCTGAAACCCCACCCACCATCGGTTGTGAGCGTCTAGAGAGTGATAATGGTTACGCCGTTCCCCACGGTCACCAACAACACCATCATCACAACCATCATCACCACCACCATCACCATCATGGCCAGCAGCAACCACCGTCACACCGGTCTTTCCCCGAGCTCCCCAACATCCGACAGATTGGGCGTCGTGGAGCTGCGGCAATACCTCTTCCTGATGAACACAAGATGAACCCCATTTCTCGCCCACCAACAGGAGCTCGGCCTCACAGCAGCGGCGCCAACAACTCAGGCTATCCCCGCAGCCGCAGCTTCGAGGGACGCCCGGGAAATTCCTACTATTCTGAACCACGTGGAGCAACTGGGGGATTCAATGGCCGCCCTCCTTCAATGGAAAGTTCAGTATTGGACAGATTTGATCGGTTCCCATATGAGGATGATCGGTGTAGCACATGCTCTAGTTCTAGTGACTCAGATGATTATTATTACTATTATGATTCTCCACGGAGACAAGGACCGGGACCACGTATATCTTATGTGGATGACATGGGTATTGGACCCCAAGGTCGTGCAAGGACTATGAACACTAGGGGCCGCCACAAGAACAAGAACAAGCAGTGTGTTATAAGCTAGGTGTGAACAATCTTGACTGTATATTGATAAACTTAAGCATTATTTATCTTCCAGTATGCTAGTGCTGCCATATTGGGTCTTGTGTTGTGACATCAGTGAGTTGTTTCGGAACATGTACAGCAGGGTAGTGGATAGGAGTGGTGGGAGGTACAGACTATTTTCCTAAAATCTCGATCAGGCAGAGGAAATAGCAACAGAATACATGTGTGATAAATCTTTATAAATTTCTGCATGTTGAATCGGGAATGCATGAAAATCTTCTCGAATCAAAACTTGTCTTCATAAGTTTTTCACAATATTCCATGTGCTAATTCCTATATTTGTATTATTGGAGATCCAACAACTGAAAGATTAATATATTTGCCCATGTTGTAAATATATTATCTTAAGTCGTTATTGTGCTGAAATTGTGATTTTGAATTTCATCCAAATACTTAATCTAAATCTGCCAATGTTTTTCATAACTGCATGTTAGTCACAATAAATGCTGCAGGGAATTGAAGGGTGTAATAAATGGGAAGAAAAATATAGTCATAACTGATTATGTTTACAATTTTTTATATAAAAGTTACATTTTTGAATTCCTTGCAGATCAGTTATGACATTGTGATTTTGTCTTCCTTTTCAGAATACAAAATATGAATTGAAAATGTATAATTTTTACAATGTGTTGAGAAGAGCTAGTTTTGAATCTCTTAATCCCCCATACATACTTGAACCTGTTTTGGTAACAGAGCTTCCATATTATATCTCCATTTACTGAAGAAGTCACTTGTTGATGTGCAATACAGGGTTATCTCCCTTCGTCTTCTGCTGCCTATGAATGCCAACTATCTTGTATGTATGTATATAAGTGAAGTAGTGTTGGTTTTCATGATATTTTGTCAAACAACAGCATTTGATATTGAGATATTGTTTATTATGTCAATATATAATGTGACCATTCTGTTATTGAAAAGCAATTTTGTATTAGAAAACCCCTTTTAATAAACCTGTACTTCATAGGGATGTACTGACATGATAAAATACATTTGTTTATTTCACCTTCAAAACACTATTTGAAATATTTTAAGCAAAATCTGAAACATTTCCAGCAGATTATGTTATATTAAGAGCATTTGAAATATTTTAAATAGGTGGGTAGGCCATTACCCCTGTGTCTTCAAAAGTTTTTAAATTGTTTTTGGGAAGTGTTATTGTTGAAGGTTCTCATTGTGAAGGGATCCTGTTTAAATGAAATTCTTATAAATAGACAGATATTTTCGACTGTGATAGTTGCCTTGATGAATTATATATTTTTAGCTTGCTGGTGTTTTTTGTGTCAGTTACCAAATATTTCTTTTTTAAGTATATTTCAACCTTGTAAACAGTAGAAATCTCTGTCATACCCCAAAATTTCCAAGTACTGAAAATGTAAAATAGACTTTTTTAACCTGGATTATGAAGCAACTGAGAAACTTTATTATTATGAGCGGACATTGTTTCATTTACCAAAACCATTTAACATTTAGTTAGGGTAAAATAAAAGCTTTAGAAATAATGCTTGAATTATTTGAGTTAATTTCATAATCCAGTAAAACAATGTTTGATAATGCATGGTTGGCATGATGCATGTTTTACTGTAGACAGAAAAAAAGGTATTTTATAAGCATGATGTATATCATGGATGATTTTTTCCTCATACCAGTTCTTCCAAATTGCAAAGCAAGACTGTCATGTATCTTGTATACTGATGTAATTTTAAAGAGAATTAATTACAATATCACTATCAAATTGTTATGGTATATTTTCATGTAATGTATAAGGTCTGTATAGAAAATCTTCTCTCTCTCGTTTTGGGGTATTCAAGGCTATTGTTCAATAATAATTATTATGATTATGATTACCCTCTCAGTATATATAGTATACTTCATCGGACAACAACAGTTAAGTTACCTGCACTTGTTTTCTAAAATCTGTTCAAGAATGGTTCAAGGTTGAAACTGAAACGAGAATCATAAGATTTTTGTGTTTATATTTTTTAGGATGAGAATACAGATGTATCTTTGAAATGACTTACAGTTCTTCCAGACCTTGTTTGTAGCTGAAATGTAAGAGATCACCAAAGTATCTTGCATGTTGAATGATACCCATATGTTGTAGTTGATGTTATCAACATGAATTATTATGAAATAAAGTTACCTGATTTTCACAAATTATTTTGTTTTTGTTGAGTTTTATATTGGGTTTTCAGTCATCTTGCCAATAAGTTCTGCTTATTTCTTAATTATTTCAGTCAGCTATCTTTGTTTCAGATATTGTCCATTTGGAGGTTAACGTTTGATCTAAATGCACATCTATACATATTTCATCACTTTCTTTCTTACATGTCCAGTATTCTTGTGTGACTATATACTCCACTTTGAAATTATTCTGAGACTGTTGTAGATTTATATTAAGGAGATGTGATACTTTTACAATGAAGAGTGCATTCCATTCATTTTGGATAAACAGAATCGTCAGCCCCTTGGATTTCATTGACGTCAAGAGGCCCATTTGGGGTATATATGTTGTGTATGATGACAGGCGACGGAAGTGCCAGTTGTCTTGTCCTCTAGCTGTTGTGGACTATGGTTGATTGATGGGAATCTGACAATCATCCTGCTTAAGAAATCAATTACATCTATTCTTTAATGTATTTTCATATTTGATCACAAGACTTTGACCCGAAATTGAAGGAAACCCCATATCGTCAATATGGTTGTGAAGTGAGTTCTTTTTGCCTACCGGTATTTATGAATACTTATTAGTATTATTGTCATTTTTGCACACATATATCTGGGAAAGGGAGTTCTGAGCAGAAAGATGCACTGATAGCAAAGTTGATCTTCAGCATTATATAGCGCTGTCAATATCTAGTGGACCAAAATTACAGGTCAACTTTTCCAAAAATGAAATGAGTGGTTTTGTCAAGGTGCACCAAATACTACAACTTATTTATTACCCATAGGGTTAGGAATAACCAAGTTCATAACTATTGTATGTGCACTAGTGCAAATATCACTTCACATACATCAATGTATTGTTTACATCAGGACAGCATTGTTGGCATCACTTGAATCTTGTGGCATAAGGTCAGATTGATGTCACACTAGGACCCGCACCATTGCTGAAGATTGTTGACGTCATGCGACAATTGTTGTTTTCAAAGATTGTGATCAGTGCATTTGTCCAAAGGGGAGCTCATAAGGAATAGGATATAATGGGGTAGAAAGAAATTATAACACTTGCATGTGTTTTATACTGATACAAAACTTGTGCAAGAAGTCATGTATTACCCTTGCTCTCACTCAGAAAAAATATGAAATCTGACACTCATTTCCTGAATTCAGTATGACACACATGCTCGTATAATAATCTCTAGTATGCTAGAAGGCTGCACTGAATAATGGTTGATGACACTGAACATTCTGTTTGTTCAGGACAAAATATTTATTCATTTTCACTATTATTTTTCTTTCAAGGTCCCCAGTAACCTATGCTTGGCAACTATATGGACTGGATGACTTGGTAGTGTCAGTGTGGGACATCGCTGTTGTGCCTGGTACTTGACAGACCACCATGACATGGCTGGGACATTGCTGTTGTGCCTGGTACTTGACAGATCACCATGACATGGCTGGGACATTGCTGTTGTGCCTGGTACTTGACAGACCACCATGACATGGCTGGGACATTGCTGTTGTGCCTGGTACTTGACAGACCACCATGACATGGCTGGGACATTGCTGTTGTGCCTGGTACTTGACAGACCACCATGACATGGCTGGGACATTGCTGTTGTGCCTGGTACTTGACAGACCACCATGACATGGCTGGGACATTGCTGTTGTGCCTGGTACTTGACAGACCACCATGACATGGCTGGGACATTGCTGTTGTGCCTGGTACTTGACAGATCACCATGACATGGCTGGGACATTGCTGTTGTGCCTGGTACTTGACAGACCACCATGACATGGCTGGGACATTGCTGTTGTGCCTGGTACTTGACAGACCACCATGACATGGCTGGGACATCGCTGTTGTGCCTGGTACTTGACAGACCACCAAGACATGGCTGGGACATTGCTGTTGTGCCTGGTACTTGACAGACCACCATGACATGGCTGGGACATTGCTGTTGTGCCTGGTACTTGACAGACCACCATGACATGGCTGGGACATTGCTGTTGTGCCTGGTACTTGACAGACCACCATGACATGGCTGGGACATTGCTGTTGTGCCTGGTACTTGACAGACCACCATGACATGGCTGGGACATTGCTGTTGTGCCTGGTACTTGACAGACCACCATGACATGGCTGGGACATTGCTGTTGTGCCTGGTACTTGACAGACCACCATGACATGGCTGGGACATTGCTGTTGTGCCTGGTACTTGACAGATCACCATGACATGGCTGGGACATTGCTGGTACCTTACAGACCACCATGACATGGCTCGGACATTGCTGGTACTTTACAGACCACCATGACATGGCTGGGACAGTGCTGGTACCTTACAGACAACCATAATATGGCTGGAACATTGCTGTTGTGCCTGGTACTTGACAGACCACCATGACATGGCTGGGACATTGCTGGTACTTAACAGACAGATGTTGCCAACTGTCCCAACAAAGAAATCATACAGAATGTATGCTTTCATCAAGCAATATATCCAGGTATTTTATTACCAAGAGACGCAAATTGTTTCTTTGGGCCACATGAATCAAAAGATCTGTTGATCTTGGAATATCAGAACACTAATATGGGCTATTATCCTGAAGAAAACTTAAGTGGGACAGAACATGATAATAATCCCACACCAGTATTTTAGAACGAAGGTGCTTTATATAAAACAACCTGATGACACTTTGCCAAAGTATATTTTATGACATTTCCTCTTCTTGATGCAATATAATTTGAATTATAAAAGGATAGAAGAACTTTGAAATATTTTGAGTGTTTCACTGTATGCACATGTATGTCACTGTTGATGTTTCCTTCTCAGTCTAAGTGCAGCACACATTATATCTTGTAATTTGTTCTCAGATGGTTTGAGTTACGAATATTGAAACTATAACACTATATGTACTTTTTCAGTATTAGCCAGATCCAGTATTGGTATGGTTTCAAATATGCAACATGTTGTATGGTGTATAGTACCCTTGTAGTATATCATTCTCAGATATATCATTTGTTGTAAGCATCATATGGAGTGAAACCCTGTAAACACTGGAACTATAAGAAAAGATAGGACTAAAAATTTACACTTTGAACTTAGGTACTGTTTTCTTATAGGGGTGGACAGATGATAATATTTATGGATCACAGTAAACATTGGAAGTTATGAAAGCAATACACAATTTGAAGGTTCGTGAAGAGGACAGTTATTGAACTGTAAAACTGTGAGGCAGTTCTTTTTAGCTCCATGGCTTTGGAACTCAACATTTATTTTTTTAAACAGAGATTAATTAAACTTTTAAAAAGTTTGAGAATTTCAGTCTCAGGAACAAGAAGACTGGGGCCACTGACCTAAAGCTTTATGAGGATGAAGATCCACAGTGTGGTTGTGATATATTGGTTGCTCTTTCACAAGACTAGTCGTTGTGTTTTTAAATTGAAAGATTGAGTCACACAGTTGAAGGTGAATTTTTTTGCAAAGGTATATGACAATAAAAAGTTCCTTGTTTCTTTCAGGCACCATAATATACCTAATATCATATATAAACCATAATGTAAGTAAGCCCTGGTCAACTGTGGGAAAAATTTAATATTATGGGAAAATTTAGGTGAACATTCCACATATTCTTCTATAATGAGTTCATGGTATGCTTATTTCCAGGACTAGGATGAGGCTAACTAAGGGTGTGCCTTTGTGATTTCAGTTCATCTGTACATTTTGTCATATAGTGAATTTATGCAAATAAAGGACTTTTGAAACCTCACACTTTCAATTTGTCAGATTGTTTAAATGACCTACTTTACCTTGTTAGAAGTGGGTCTTAAGAGCGTTGTTTCTTTGCCTTTTTTAACACAGCTGAATAGAGAGCTCAGGAAGCCTTCCATTACAGACCCCACATATATTCTATGCTTGTGGTGTCAGTTCATTGAAACAGTTTTGATTTGAATATACAAGCAGTATTTTAAGAGTGAAAACATACTTTGCTGAGTAAGGGTGAGTGAGTGAGTGAGCCATCCAGCCAGTAAGTGAGCAAATGTTGATTAACAAGGATAGATCCAGCATTTTGAGGGAGGGGTGCAGAATATCAAAATCCTCTCTCAGATAATTTTACTGCCTTCAACATACTACATCATCGATGAACATAACCCGAGAAACAGCTAAGGATACACATTTCATGAAAACAGGAAACTGAAAAAACACAACCTTAGCATATCTAAAGGTACAACACCATGGAGATATCTCTGCTGTACTGTCGAGTCTAGAGAACTGTTACCGCACAGGGGTTGGCATACATTCAGTGTGCTTGGAGAGAAAGTGTTTCTTGGAACCAGCTGGTTCAAAGTGGTTTGTTAAAGCAAGGTTTGTTTGTAGGCACATCTGGAATAGTTCGCATTCATCCTGATATTGTGCGAGTTCTCTATCATTGACACGTCCGAGCATACCACTTTGCATGGAATACACCTGCAGCAAACAATCCTTCTAAATGTAGATGCCTCAATTTATTTGAGGAGATGTGGATGTGTACCATGTGATCTAATGTCTATTTTTCACTGGACAAGATCCTATGACTGCGATTTAACATCTGGCAGACACAGTTTGTCTGTAGGTTGATCTTGATAAATTAGCTCCCCACTCTACAAATGTTTTTTGGTTAAAGTAGAAACGGAATAAATCGAGACCGGCCCATTAGGTAGTTATGTTTGCGAGTTTTTGTACTGAATGAATAATCTCTGCTCGGAGGTGGTAGTGAGGTGAAATGGGTTGAGCCCATGTTTTAGCGTATGCCGCAGTGTATCAACAAGTACCATATTTTAACGTCTTTTGGTATGACTTGGCCCGGGATTGAACCCCCGGCCTTCCGCTCTTCAGGAAGACGCTCTACCACTAGACCACAGAGGCGGTCATCTCTGCCTGGAATGGAATGAGATAAACTTCAACTTTCAAATTGTACCTCTAGTTCAGGATTATAATTGTGGGTGGGTGTAAAAACATACTCGCCTTTTGTGAGTCGCAGAACAAGTAAGATGGGCAAATATGATACAAAGTGTATATATGTTACATAAAATCAATAAGTTTCATAAAGATTGAATATTGTTGAGTCCTGTTCCTAGTTGATACTGATCCATAAACACATGCTTATGATATAGTCGGCATTGTTCAATGGACTCTGATTTTATCAGAGATTTCTTATAATTAAAATGCTTTTGTTGCTTATATTTACATTATTTTTTTTATCACGTCTTGCCAATTTGAAACCACACACCGTTTGGCTTTCTTGTCAACTCGCCTTTGGTTATGACAAAAACATAAAGAACAATCTTCATGGATATTTCTCCTTCTCTTTTAAATTATACTGTAACAGTAATTATACATTATTATAAAGTTACTTGTGCATCTTCCCAGGGCAAGGGGGTTAAATGACAATAGACGTCCAGTTTCCATCCTTGCCGAACGAGGCCGGAATTTCGTGGCTCGATCGTTGCGCCACCAGTAGCTAAGATGAGTCCTTTCTATGGCCCTCCTATTGACAAATCAGATTCCACCTATCATTTGCTTCAAACAAAATGGCGGCGCCCAGTCAAGACAATCTGATCGATAATCAAGATCTGTATTGTAATAAAACGGGTCTTATCTCACCAAGTACATCAAATTACTGGCGCATCTTGATTAAAAACATGAAAAAGAGTTGGAAAATATTTGTCAACCCCGAGTTGACGGTACACGTACTTTACAAATCCTGCAATCGACCGAAATCTGCACGGCAGTTTACGAACCGGACGTCGATTTCATTACGCGATTTTGATTGGAATGTGCATCGCCTCGTTAGTGCAGTCGAATATAACTCCGAAATTACAGCCTTGTTCGACAAGAGTGGAAACTAGCCGAGAGCCGCGATCACGTGATGTAGGGTCATGTCTTGACTGTAGGACCCCGTCGCTACTCTCGGCTAGGGTGGAAACTCGACTTTTACGGTCAGTTAACTCCCTTGCCACGGGAAGATGTAAATACAGTCGCTAACTGTTTCGCATTATTGTCCTAGCCGTGTCGTTTTAATGGTTACACTTGTTAATCAATATTGGACTTCCGAGAACTGAATATGTGGCAACTATGGACCGAATAATCAGCACATGGAAATGTTTTCTAGACACACATCGGCGTCATATAGCTCCTGACTGTGATGGTGGTTTAGATGGCGACATGAACCATAATATGATATATCTCTGCCAAACATATCAAATATATATATATCGTATCAACAGTCATGGATATTACGAACATTAACAATACGAGCTAAACCTTTGCTAAATCTAAGAAATTATACCTCAAGTAAAAATTATCCCGTTTCTGAAGTGTGACTCATTCAATAAAATACAAAGATGAAACAACTAAAATCGCTAAAATGGTTTAAACGTCGCAGTCGCATTAAAAAGAACTCCCGGACCCTTAAATAATTTGATATATGATTCCATATCAGACACCAAGTCTATACGCGCTCTCTGGACTGAGCCATAGAGAAGGTTAGAGCGTTGCAGTGTTTCATCTTCCTCAAGGGCTGCACTTCACACTTTCTGGTAAATATTGTTATTGCCGGAACAGTTCATTAGGCAATGGATCACTGTCTCTTATACATTTCCACGTCAGTGGAGGAACTTCATTATCAATAACGCTTCATGCATTAACCCATAATGAACAGTGAAGTCTTCTGAGTGTCTTCGTGGGCGAACTTTGACCCAATATGTCACTGCTTTGTCGTTTATGTATGCCTGTTCTTGCCTGATGTCATATACTTTACATATACAGTGTAAGCCTTATAATGCCCTGGTTTATCACATGTAGGTATAGTAGAAGGGTACCGTTTGGGATCTGTAACTTCCACTTTCCAGTAAACCGTTAAATTTAATAAATGAATGTTCAAGTAAACAATAAAGAGTTCACACAAGAATTATAAGTAATTATTACTGTTATATTGATCTTTGATACGTTATTCAGGCATTCATTGTGTAATTGGTGATTGAGTGAACGTAGTTTTTTCGCCAGAGTCAGTCAGTTATATCACGGCGACCTGTCCCACATCGTAACCACACAATCGTATATAGTTGACTCTTAAGACAGATACGGGCTACTTTAGACCTGTTATGCTCCGGAAACCTCGCTGGGGAGCATCAGTGGTAAACACAATTTGCATCGGAACTGCCCAGGCGGCAAGCGTCCAAGTGTCGCGTACACCTGGTGTCATAACTGATTTACAATGATCCATTCATATAATTTTCATTACTATCTTGATTTTAAGCCCGATGGAATCTGTTTCGGCAGATACTGGGCCCGATTATTCTGGGCCCGATTATTATGTCTACTTTTCTGAGGTAGCTATTCCAAATATCGGCACCCCCAGACGCCGATCCCCGGTGACAGGTTACTGAGTTCGTATTACCTATCCTGTACCTGGAAGAACTTTGATCCGGTCAGTTTTAAACTTGACGGTGAATGATACTGAGGTTCCATTATATTAACGACTCACGCGACTGATATATACCACGTGTCCCTCTCCCGTGATCTCGCGACATCGCCTGACGGTGGTCAAAAACATGTTTTGATATTGTCCGAGATAACGATATAAACTATGGGTGACTACACCAACGATATATAACGGTACATTAAAGGTACAAAGGACAAACTAGGAAAACGGTCATTTTTGACACACGGAATTTACAAATAGAGCAAACATTTAGAAATTGTTATGAAAGTTATCAGATATGTTCATATGAACATATGAAAGTTATCAGAAATGAACTCAACATTTGTTCATTTCAACAATTCCATGTTTACGACTTATTAAAACACTAAATGCTTAGGTAAGTATAAAATGGGTCGAAAAAAGGCAAATTTTACAGCCTTTCATGCAGCGTTTTTCTAATATTTGAACATGAGCAAGTCTTTGACCCAAACTGATTTTCATAGGTGATGTACATACAATCATTACAAACATACAATGGTAAATTGTTACATTTGGTCACGGACTTTCTCGTACTGAGAATTTTATTTGAAGGTGTATTTCGCCATGTCCGAAGTCCACAACTTGCAAGTGTGAAGAAGAAAACAGGTAAGTCGGCAGTCATTTTGAACATAACTGGTAATTTTCATGCCAATATTACAAAGTTTTCTTACATTTCCAGTGGACCAAAAGGGCCTTTATACTACCCCATCTTTTACGTTTCATGCTGTCTCCAGAGTTTCAGATAACCTGCGTATTTGCGTAATGTACGATTTGACCTAATTAAGAGACATACCATACAGGTGCTCGTGGGCTTCACCAAAGTGGCAAACGTATAAGACTTTCATCACCTCTGGATTTCTCCAACATTATACTGACAAACCGTGATATAAGTGGAATACTGTTTAACTTACTCACCCACTTACTAACTGCCCACGACCCCTGAAGATCCGGGTAGAGAATGGGTCTTCAGCAACAAATGCTTTTAAGAGGCGACTAACGGGATCTGGTGGTCAGACTCTCTGACTTGGTTGATGCATGTCATCGTATCATAGTTGCGTGGATCGATGCTCATGAAGTCAATCACTGGATTGGCTGGTCAGACTCGATTATTTAGAAACCGCCGTAATATATCGAATATTGCTGAGTGCGGTGTTAAACAACAAACAAACACATGCTTACTGCATACAAGTCGGTCTCCATACGATATGCTGTAGTTAAGGCGTGTAACAGTATATTAACCGTTCCTATCGACCTGCAGCTGCCATGACTTATTCATTTCCAATACTTGCGCATGTCAGAAAACACATCTAAATTAGTAATAAAACTATTTTAATAAAGTTCTTCGTTTTACATTGACCCTGCAACTTTAATAATCACAGTATGTGATCTCGGTGACCCACATAAGGATGTGACCCAGAAATAGATAAGCGCGTCTTCTCTATCTTGTATACAAGCTCCCGAAGGAAGGACTAGGTCCCAGAGCTCGATCTTGTTACATGGAATATTGACTGTGTACCACCGAGACAAACCGCTGAGACAAGAATGTTGCTGAAAGTGATATGTTTGGTGGCAGCATTGGGGGTGGTCGTTCCCACCCTAAGGGCGACCCCCCTCGACGACTACGTGAATAAGGCCGACCCCCACTACAACTACACGGTGTTGGAGTGGAAGTACCGGGGTCCAGACTTCACGCTATACCTCATCAATATGACGTCACAGCAATGGCTGACGGGTGAGAAACTGTGTTTACATTTGACTGACATTATTTAGCGAGGATGTTAGGGCATTTCACTGTGGTGGCATTGGTACTCCAGTGTTGAAGGCTCCGCAAATCGCTGAGCAGAGTTGTGCCCCTTGTGTGTGCCTGAATCCGCTGGTCGTTTGTTCGAGTCCCATATTCCCAAAGATTATGATATTTGTTTGTCAGCACCATTAAAACCCTAGTTTTGGGGTTTCAACAACTGTTGAGGTGAGGCGAGTACGAAAGAAGTGGTACCCCCATCAATGTTGCAAAACACATACATGTCTTCAGGACCCGTGAAGATCCGGGGTATAGAATAGGTCTTCAGCAACCCATGCTTGCCGTAAAAGGCGACTATGCTTGTCGGGTGAGGCGGCTAACGGGATTGGGTGGTCACACTCCCTGACTTGGTTGATGCATGTCATCGTATCCCAATTGTGTGGATCGATGCTCATGTTGTCAATCACTGGATTATTTGCAGACCGCCGTCATATAGCTTGAATATTGATGAGTGCGGCGTTAAACAACAAACCAACAAACAAATCATGTCTTCAGGCATAAGTTCAAGCGCTTGACGTATTCCTAACGTTACCAGTATGACAGAATAGATACAGTATCGCCGTGAGAGGCTTGACACAGTATATCTAACAGCGAAAAGGGCACTTTAGGGGTACGTCTGTTCCAGATGCTGCAACTCGTTGTTCAGATCGAGTTTTCTCCCTGTGGGTTCGAATCCGCGATTATGATTCTTGGTCTCTGAGTACAATGCAAGTGCACTTACTCATCAAAGTGGTAAACGTTTTCGACCGGAGTCTATTTGGGCTTTCCTTCCACATTACACTGGCAGGCGGTGATATGTGTTCAACCCAACTCACCTAATGCCTTAAAGTCTGATCATCACGACTCAATGTAAGAATAGCTTTAACTTGAATACCTTACAATTAGGTTTCAGTGTGTACCTGTCGACGCTCATCAGCTGGTGAAGACAAAGGATCACGCGAAGACATTTCTGGTTGTGGTTTCTATATACTGTCATTTGTTCACGTTATACGATCAGCTGTTCCGTATGTCACTTCCGGGGGGTACGGGGCGAGCCGGTGTAAACGCCAGCAGGATTTACAACACACGTCTACAGTTCATGTTAGCTAAACGTCAAGAAATATTTTTGAATCCTATGCACATTGTTGCCTGGGATGCTTACTTCAAATATGAATATCTGCTTTCTCTAAAAGTGAAATTTGAACAGGAACGTTTCTGGTTTCTAAA